ATTACAAATGTATCAGTGAAAAATACTTTGATATGTCCATTCTAATGTTCACAATACTTAAAAACTATTAATGATACAGCAAAAGCATTAGGACAATTCAAAACGTAAAAAGCACGTGTTGTAAAAACATCAAACGAGAAATAGGACTAGAAGCGACGTCTTAAACCACATGGTGCACTTGGATGACTAAACTCACATGAAGTAAGGCTAAATGGAGAGGGACTTTTGAAAGAGAGAAGAAAGTTAGTTAATAACTAACTAACTAACTTACTGAGAATGTAATTCTGTTTGTTAGGCTAAATGGAGAGGGACTTTTTACAAGGGCATGTAGTGATAAGACAAGGGGCAATGGCTTTAAACTGAAAGAGGGCAGATTTAGATTAGATATAAGGAAGACATTTTTTACATTGAGGGTGGTGAGGCACTGGAACAGGTTGCCCAGAGAAGTTGTGGATGCCCCATCCCTGAAAGTGTTCAAGGCCAGGTTGGCAGGTTGGATGAGGCTTTGGGCAACCTGGTGTAGTGGAGGATTTCTCTGTGCATGGCAGGGGGGTTAGAACTAGATGATCTTTGAGGTCCCTTCCAACCCTAACCATTCTATGATTCTAAATGGTCAGGATGTGAGAAACTACCCACCATTATATGAGAAATTGCTGGATGTGAAACAATATAACGCTCTGATAAATTAAAATGAAAACCAAAATATTGTGTTGTATGAGAAATGGCCTAATAGCACAGATAATTGTAGGGGAGAATTAGGAACCTTCTGGGGAGCATAACCTTGAAAGTCCAGCAGTGCCTCTGTAAGTATAGCTGAAGCTGAAATATTAACCTCAGGTACAGATGTAGCAAATCTGAGATCAAACCAAATTTAAATAGTAGTGGGCCAAGATGGGGAAGCCAAAGAAATAGGAAAAGGGACAAGGAGGCATGCAAAAAACCTGCAATGAGGGCTGTCTGGATTATTTGTCAGGCAGTCTTGGCATAGATCAGTGCAGCTCGGAGCAAGACAATAAATCAAATCTCTTGTTTTGGTCATCCATGCAGATTTGATTTCCTCCTGTGGTCTCAATCCTGCTATAGTGGAGAGCTGCTGCTCATGCACAACCCAAAATTCGTGCATTCACTACGGTCAGAAGCTTTAGACAAGGGCTTCAGCTCAAGACAGATGAATCTAAACCCTTTGACTACCCTATATGAAAAGATTATACACAGAATTTCCCCAGCATGTTTCAGACTGCTCTTCACTCCAAATGGACTCTATGCAAACAGACAGTTCACAAAGATGCCTGCAGTGGTGTCACAAGGAAATGAAAAACAGTAGTTGTTGGCTTTCTAGATAACCTTTGTTTAATCAGATCTTTAAACACCACTTTCTTTTCAATGTGACCATGCCCTTGAAGTGTATCATTTGTTTCTCCTAAGGTTCTTTACCCTAATCGCTCACCTCCATACTTCAGATGTCAGTGGTATTTGGTTCTCTGTCTTAGGGTATTTTCTTTGGTTGGTTATTTCCAGATTAATCAAAGATTTGAATACCCTGAGTTTGTAGAGCTTAACATAGGTGCAATTTCCATATAATATTTTACTGGACACTAAGGAGAGGTGTCCAGCCTTACAGAAGCTTAAATGTTTTGCTAAGAATCCCTTTGCTCAGCAAAGAGGGAGCCATATAGAGGCAAGAAAGGAAAGCAAGGAGTTCAACGAGACACAGGGTGAAGGACAAGCTTTGAGGATGGAACTAAAAAGTAAACCAAAGTTAAAGTACAACTGCTCTAAATTTGAGGTTCATGATGACCAGTATTTTTCTTTCTCATAAAAGACTGCCAATGTTTTATCCTCTCCAATAATCACCAAACACACTTTCTATCTCACCTTTGTTCTCACCTGGACTTGTTTTCACATTAAAAAAAAAGCTTGAATAAGATGGAGTTTATTAAGTAGGTAAAAAATCATTCAGTATCAACATTTATTAAGCTGTTCACAAAAATATCTGAAAAAGCTGAGTTAAATGACAGCTACTGTGTGTAGCTTTCAACTTGAAATTAGATTCCATCATCAGGATACTGAAAGCTCTTTCTTGGATTTTATCATTCTCAGAAGAAACCTTAGGAGACTGTTGATATTTTTCAAATCAACAGTATTTTGGAGGTTAGGTCAGCCATCTTTTAAAAGATATTTTCTTGTATCCAGTCCTAATCAGAAAACAGATGTCTTTCTCTTGAAGGGTCAAACTAACAGAAGCCACTAAGATTGGTGGTTTTCTAAGTGAAAACTACAAATTTAATGTTTCTAATGCAGTGTATCTTTTTTTTTAAATTTTTAAATAGATTAAATACAGGTAGATTAAATTTTAACAAAATGAAACAAAAGAGTTGGACTTAAAGAAATAAAAAAATTATCTTATTATTATTTCACCTTATTAGCAATTATTTGTTATTTAAACTAACCAAAAGTCAGTCTTATTGACACTCAGACCTTTTCTGAAACACCAGTGGGTGATCATAACTTTGAAGACTGTCTTACAGATATTCAGTACTACCTCTTTCAGAGCAGTATCTTTGTATTTTATTACTGAAAGGTAAATTTATTTTGAAGACATTTACTGAACATTTACCTACAAAATTTCTTTTAACATTTGTATTCAAAGTTGATGCTGATTAAATGCATGAATTAAATGAGCAGATGATCAACTGTATTTGATATTTCTTGGGGACATACAGTCTTCTCTCTTTCTCATCAGGATCAACCTGTTAACAAAGTATGTATGGTGAGGCTCTTGTCAAAAGAAAGCTCTTCCTTTTCTTCACAAGCCTCCTGAAGAAGTTCACCTCTCACCTCCACTAAGAGTTTCCATTGCAGACCTGGACCTCTTCCCTTCCAATGAGTTTTCCATCCACCCAAAGCCCTTTAAGGTCTACACTATTCCTAGAGCTTTTTTCAGATATCTTTCTGACTCAGAAACAAAAAATACATGCATTCAATACAAAATATATTAACAGTCCACCGCTGCATATGTGTCCCTACATCTATGCACCTTCTCATTAAGCAAACAAGCCAGGGATCAGTCTCTGGTACTGCACAGATCACATACATACTCATACAACGACATTTTCTCTTCTCTGACCTCCAAGGTAGACCTTGGTTCTTTACACATTCCTCCAGAGACACACACAGAGATACACATAAATACTAGTACAACCTACCACAAGAAAATGATAGATGTCGTCTCAATTCAGAACTACTATGCAAACATGTTGAAGAGTACCAGAGGAAATCCTACACTTGGAACTAAGAACTAACTTACTTCAGAATAATATGCATATTCATAAGATCTATGGAATTCTTAAAAAAAAACAAACCCAACTTTAGAATCAAACTCTCACCAGCATTGTCTTCAAAGGTGCAAAGATGCTTACTTTATTGTGAGTGACACAGTCAATGTGACCAGATTGCCAAATTTTCCATCAAGTTTGGCCAATGATCTCTATGTCTGCATCCAATTTGGATATTTTTTTCTTCAGTTCATGTTAGGTGAGGAGAATTGAGATAGTGAAAAGAATGGCTTTTGCTCTACCGAGTCTTGCTCACTCAGATGACTAAGCAGCACAAGAATTTTCCCCTGTTCCTCGAAGAACCTGAACAAGTTCTCTTCACACATCATGTAAAACACCATAGAGCAGTAAAGTATTTGACTACCATAAACTTAACACTTTAGAAACAACTTATTTGGTTCAAGACGTGTCTAGAGACATTGCCTGTCAGAGCTTGAAGGAGCCACAAACATTGGTCCAAGGGGAAATGTTCCCAAGCAGGGAAGAAACACTCACAACCTGTCACTCATCTCCGTGATAATCATAGAATCATAGAATCATTTAGTTTGGAAAAGAACCTTAAGATCATCGAGTCCAGTCACTTCTCCCAGTCTTCCTGTTCTTCTTCCTCTGGTTCCTTCTTTTACTACTTTTTCTCCTCCTTTTCCTCTTTTTCTTCCAGCTTTTATTTCTGCAATTCTTTTCACCTTGCTCAGCTCACTCACTACCTGCTGGCACTGCAGGAACCTGCTGGATGAAATCAGCAGGACTGAGCAGTCAAGGGCTGGGACTGTTTAGCCTAGAGGAGAGAAGGCTCAGAGGAATCTTATCAGTGTGCATAAACATCTGCAGCAAGGGTACAAAGAAGACAAACCCAGGCTCTTTTTAGTGGTGTCCAGTGCCAGGACCAGAGGCCATGGGCACAAGCTGAAATGCAGGAGGTTCCTTCTGAGCATCAGGAAACATTTTCTTACTGTGATAGTGACCAAGCACTGGCACAGGTTGCCCAGGGAGACTGAGGAGTATCCCTCCTTGGAGATAGTCAAAAGCCATCTGGACATAATCTTGGGCAAAAAATTCTAGGTGGTCCTGCTTGAGCAGGGGGGTTGGACCAGCTGACCTTCAGAAGTCCTCTCCAACCTTAACAATTCTGCCATTCTGTGATTTGAAATTCCCAACGAATTTGATGAAAACAAAGTTATATCAATTCCTAAGCACTTAAAAAAAAATAAATCCCTGTGGATTAATCTCTTGGGCATTGGCATTCTGATTTCAGTTTTCAGGGTATCAAGGCTGTGCCTATACTAATGACGAAAATATAGCTAATCAGTAACCTGAAGAGCATGCAGAATTTATGACTTTTGTACTAAACACCAGGTTGATGACCTATGATTCTCTGTGTTCTTGGACTTTCACTCTTTGACAGTGAGCTACACTCTCACCCAGTCACACGGGCATGGCTAGCAAACATTTACCTGTCTCAGTACCATACTGAGAACTTATTAGCAAGCACAGGGGAAGAGAACAAAACCAGTCATCAATCGCAAGAAAAACATACTCTTCACTGGGAAAGAGGTTTATGGACTAGTATAAGTATCTCTCAAAGGAAATTTTTGCAGGAAGGCAGAGATCCAGAGTCCACATTTTCTCGTTTCTCTTCTGTAGCAAATACTTGGCTGAATAGAGATGGACTGGAGCAGCTACACTTCCATCGGTTTAGTGCTAATCCTGATTTTTCTATCCATTTTGAAAATGGGAGGTTTCTGGAAGAATCACCGGGTGAAGAATTTTCCTCCAGGACCAAGAGCATTACCCATCATTGGAAATCTGCATTTGTTTGATTTTAAGAGACCCTACAGGACTTATCTACAGGTAATCACTATTGGTCCCATAACTGCACATATCACCAAGCCTCATAGTCCAAGATGGCAGAGAGTTTCTCCTATTGCACCCAAAGTGTTACATCTACAGATGACCCTTAGCAAAGGACAGGAGACTGTTATTTGAGCAGAAAACTTTGAATGCAGAGAGATTTGTTCTTTCCTGTAATACTTGCTTTCTTCACTGCAACTTCATGCATCTAGCTTTCAGTCTTAAACAATTCTCAAATTAACTACAGGTGTTCACCTTATTTTTGCGGCAATTTTGTGAAAAAGGCAACTGAATAAGAAGTGGTTTTGATATGTGGTATAACTCCTTCCACTTTCCACTGATTTATATAGAATCATAGAATCATTGAACGGTTTGGGTTGGAAGGGACCTCAAAGATCATCTAGTTCCAACGCCCCTGCCATGGGCAGGGACACCTTCCACTACATCAGGTTGCTCAAAGCCTCATCCAACCTGGCCTTGAACACCTCCAGGGATGGGGCAGCCACAACTTCTCTGGGCAACCTGTTCCAGTGCCTCACCACCTTCATTGTAAAAAATTTCTTCCTTATATCTAATCTAAATCTACCCTCTTTCAGTTTAAAGCCATTGCCCCTTGTCTGGTGTTTCTTACCACCCTTTCCTCCTTTCTTCCCCAAAAGCTGAAGATAACTATATATGCTTAATATTCAGGGCCAACAGTTGCCAGAATATAGAGCAAAGCTGTTAGCAAACCAAAGTGATAAATCTTTTGGGTATTTTCTACTACTTTCTTAACCTAGTTTATTGTAGGATTTTCCTGATCTTGAATTAGAAGACTTCTATGAACCTGGTCCTTAGAGGTTTTTCTACATAGACATTGAAATTACATATGTCTTCCTTGCTGATTATTTTTTAAAGGATATTTGCACCTACATATCTGTATGTATGCTACATCCACAAATCAAAAGACTGCTGAGACACAGTATCTGGAAAATCATCTGTAGCTATCCAATGAAGCCTAACTGAGTTGGAAAAGCAAGCTTCATCTCTTTTCAGTCCAACAGAACCAACAAATCTCTGCTATAATTCCAGTGAATCCATTCTAATGGAGAAGTTTGGTTCTCTGACTTGAGCTTAGCTCAAGGTTTAAAATTCACACATACTTAGCGTGCAAACGCAGCTGAAGACCATATGCAATCAACGTTGCAAGCATTGGAAAGTCCTTACTGGAGAACATCCCTTGAAAAGATCATATTCTGCCACAGATACAGCAGTTTGGGATAAAAGTATCATCACTGAAGAAGCTACTCTGAATTCAGACACTGCTGCTATGTTATTTCTTATAGCTGGCTGGACTTACTTACCAGTTGCTGAACATTTTGCGTATCAATGCTAAATAGTTGCCTTCTGTTTCTCTGTGCGAACATCTTAGAAAATAAATACAGTCAGGAAACCACTCTCCTGTTGCCAAGAGAATCAGGAACATTGAGTTATATGAAAATTAATCTGCTTATAAAAGCTAAAAAGTTATCAGCTTAGGCCAAACATTGTGTGATGGTTTGATGTAAAGGGGTTCTGGTGGTAGAAGAGGGGATTCGCTCCCTGTGACTTCCCTGGTTTTGGAACCAGGTCAGACCCGGTTCTGCCCACCAGATCGGACTCCCATCCCCCTCAGGGTTGAGCCAATTGGCGCCTCTGCGAATTGCACTATTTAGGCTGGGATAAAGGAACCGGAAAAGGTGCGCTTTTACCTGGGAGTGAGGAGAGAAGGGAGGAGGGCGCTGTTCGTGCTCCCTGGCTCCCAGTCAGGTGACTGCCCACGCTGGGCCGGCACCACCCGCTGAGGATGGCGGCGGCGGAGCTGCCTGGGGAAGTAAGGGAGTGTCCCGTTCCCAGGGTGCCCGCTGGGCCGAGTTCACCCAGAGACGACTGAGATCTGAGAGAAATGGCCACATAGACACCAGGTCAGTGAAGATGGAATGGGACGAGGTGTGCTGGAGCTGAGTTTCCCCTGCAACTGGTGGCGAGACGGCAGGTGGCCGCCCTGCAGCCAGGACAGACTCGGTGGAGCAGAGACCCACTCGCAGCCCGTGGAGAAGTTCACGTTGGAGAAGAGATGCCTGAGCCTGAGGACAGTCGTGGAGCATGAGACGAACAAGGTAGAGACACATCTAGAGTCTATATGACGACCCACGCCGGAGCGAGTGGCAACAACTCCCTAAGAATTCGAGACTGTGGTAAAGCCCGCACTGGAGCAATCCGATGGGGAAGGATTGCATCTTGTGGTAGGACTCACTCTGGAGAAGTCTGTGGTTTTTTCCTTGTGGGTAGGAGATCCACTGGAGCAAGGAAAAAGGGTGTAAGGACTCCTCCTCCTTTAAGAAAAGGAGCATCAGTTACAACATGGGATGAACTGACCTGTACTCCCCCATTCCCTGCCCCCCTGCATCGCTGGGGGAGAAGGTAGAGCCGGAAAGAAAAGGAAAGGGGGGAGAAGGTGTTGTTTTTAAGATCTGGCTTTGTTTCTTTTTATCCTCTCAAGTAACTGGTTTTCTTTCCCTTTGTCCTTTTAAGTAACCGTTAATAAATTGCTTTGCTTTGAAAAAGTCGACTCTGTTTTGACACATTGTCTCTGAGACAGATTCGTTGTGGATGTAGTCATACAGAAAAAGTGAGAATTTACCTAATGCTAGATCCTGGTCCAGAAAAATACTGTGGGTTTTATACAATAATGGTAGCAAAAGCTTGAACAGGTTTAACCTGTAAACAAAAGAAAAACAATAACACAGAGATCAGTGTGAAAACATGAGGCAAAAGTTGAATTTACAGGGGTTCTTGAGGGAAAACAGAGCTGTCAGCACAACCCTTGACTGACTTGAGGTTTCAGCTGTTAACGCTTGTGCTGAGTTTAGCACAATGAGACTCCACTCCTGACTGTGCCATTTAGTGATTAGCTATCATAATGTCTGGCAGGTTCACATTATTTAAATCAATTTTCCTTCTCTGTACTTAGGAAAATATTGAACGTTTTAGTAACTTAGAGGCAGGACAGGAAAATCAGCAGCAGTGAAAGGATGGTGAATTTATTTGTAAGCTGTAAAAGCTGTAAATTACCGTTGTCTTTTTCTGACAGCTGTCAAAAGTATATGGACCAGTCTTCAGTGTTCAGATGGGGCCAAGGCAAATAGTAGTGATTTCTGGGTATGAGACAGTGAAGGAAGCTCTCGTAAACCAGGCAGATGCTTTTGCAGAGAGACCTATAATCCCCATCTTTGAAGATATGACCAAAGGACACGGTGAGTTGATTTTCTTTTTCCTCATCAGCTTGATTTATTCAAAAAAGTTTTTTCTTACAGAAGAAGCAGAGGCTGGCACATCACTTTGGATCATAGACTATCCAAGGCATTGGAAATAGAAAGCAATTTCATTGACTTCAGTGGGTTTATTCAAATTTGAAACTACTGACAGTGACAACAAAACAACCATAATTATAACAATAACCACAGCAACAGATAACGGATAGTCTCACACTTTCAGGATCTAGAACAGGGACATGCATGCCAGGGAATGCATTTCTAGCTCTCTTTAGTTGGTTCTGGACTTCTGTTGTTTTGGGCTTATCATAGAACGTCCTTTTCCTAAAATGAATATTATACTACTGCTGACAAATTATTCCTGACAAATTTGGGAAAACTCTGCAAACATTTTAACAGTTGCATCTTTTTATCACATTATTGCATGTAAGGTTTCTTTAATTTTTTTTTCTTTGAAAAAAATGTAACTGGTTAGCCAAATGGTGTAACAATTCCAGTGAAAAACTGATTGAGGAGGTTTTAAGACTCTATCTAAATTTTAAGACATTTGTGCCTAGCCAGGTTTCTCCTGCAATCATCAGAGATATGAGGTCTCAGAGTAATTCCACATCCACAGTATGATGACCAGCAGTTTGAAATTGAATTTGTAATGTCCTCTTTCTTTCAGTGACAAATATCTCTGAGAGATATATATTCTTAAATAGTTTATCCTACTTTTTGTGTGCAACAAACTTATTCATAAGGCCTGAAAATACTTTAAGTTGTTTTTTTCCTCAGTCAGATGTAATTTACCTTGTTTTAAAAGTGACTCCGACTAAATGTCTACATTATTTGTGTAAAAATTAGTTATTTAAAATCTTTAAAGTCACCTTGAAATGTTCTCTTTGTGTCAGGGATTATTTTTGCTCGTGGTGAAAACTGGAAGGTGATGCGAAGATTTACTCTAACAACCTTACGAGACTTTGGAATGGGAAAAAGGGCCATTGAAGACCGCATTGTGGAGGAATATGGGTATCTGGCAGATGTCATTGGGTCACAAGAAGGTAGGTAGAGGATTCATTCCTCAAACCTCTAAGGTTTTATTCAAGTACTCAGAGGCTTGCCAGAAACCTTCTCAAGTTCAGCCCTTTTTAAGAAATCCTGTACTCAGGCTGAAACAATTTGATGAATTTGACTTCCCTGGCATTTTGTGTCTTGGCATGGTATTCTAACATTGAATAACCAATAATATCAATAAGAGTAATAAATAAATAGAAATAATTAGTATTAAATTTACTTAGTCTCTTGCCACAATGTAATGTATTCTTTTGTTCACTATGTAGGAAAGCCCTTTGATGCTAGTAAAATAATTAATGCAGCAGTTGCTAACATAATTGTATCAATATTACTTGGAAAACGATTTGACTACAAAGACTCCAGATTTCTGAGACTTCTACAGTTGACCAATGAAAACATGAGGCTTGCTGGAAAACCTTTAGTTACGGTAATGATAAACATTTTTAGATCGCTGTTCCTCTGGATGCCATAGGAACATAGTAATACTGGTAGTCAATTATTCCTCTTAAAGAGAAAAATTTGACACTCTGAGAGATAATAGGTTTACAAGCACCTTCTGGGACAAAACAAGCTTGAGAGACAGTCTGGGAATCTTAAAGCCAGCAACTAAACCCCTAATCTTTAAAAACATACTTAAGCTACTGTTTGAGGAGTGCTAAATCTGGACTGAAAAAAATCAGACCATGTAGTGCACAGAGAGTAAGCTCAGCATTCCCTCAAAATACAGTTCACACATAAAAAGTACCCAGGCAAAACAGTACGCTCTCAGAACATGGGGCAGGGAGAAGCTATAGAGTATGTGGTCTACCTGTACAAGGAGCCCTGATACAAAAGATGTCTTTCCATGCTTCTAGTACACTGAAATGTCTCAATGAGTAATAAATATGGTCTGATACTCACATGCAATGCTGTCACACACCAGATTAACTTCTGTTCCTTCAGGCTTTGAAACAGAAAAACACAGTTGGCAGAAGAGCTGGCTAAAACAATAAAAAAAGTTGCTGGCCAATGTTTCCATCTTCATGGTGGAAAGTTGCAGGTTTTTGAGTCTGACATTTACCTTACTCCTGCAAAATAGTCTCTGCTTCCCGTAGTTTGGGTCTGAGAGGTTTCTTTACCATCAGTGCTCCTTGATGGATTTTGCACCTTGAATTTCTCCAGTCACTTTTTCATGTTCTACAGAACAAAATATTCATGTTAAGACTTTGTCTTTGTACCTGCAAAACCGGCACAATATTATTAAATTGTTTCTGTAGTGTTTTCAGATCTTTGGCTGCTAAATTCTCCCTAACATCTTTTGCTCTCGTAGATGTACAACATCTTCCCATCCTGCTGAGGGCTAACAAGGCTCTTCTCCAAAACAAAAAAGAATTCAATGCTTATGTAAAAGTTACTTTTGTAGAACATCTCAAAACTTTGGACAAAAATGATCAAAGAAATTTTATTGATGCTTTCCTTGTTAAACAGCAGGAGGTAACGGACTCTTTTCTTATTTATTTGAAGTCTTATGGTTATATGAATGCATTTACAATTTCCTTTCAGTCTTTATAATTATAGCTATATGTCATTAGGGAATCTATTTTTGACAAAACACATCTGAAAAATCAGTAGAGTTGAATCGATATTTCACTCTCTTGCAGTTCCACCCCCTTTTAATCCGCAAACGTTTATCTTTATTTATGTTTTTCTCCAGACTATAGCAATATATTCACTGAGGCTGACTCTTTTTATGTTTTCTCTGTTGTCTTAATCCTTATGGCTCTTTCACAAACATAATGCATTATAAAACAAAAGCACTACCTGGGCTTTACTGGAGTCTTTATTTGGAGACTCTGATACATCTGAATTATCTTCTTCATAGAGAAACCAGATCTCTTTACATCTGAGCCCAGTAAGGGCAGAGATCATGCAAAAGATAAAACCTATGTCAACACTATTCTACAGGTACAACCCCAAAGTGCTTCTTTGTCTTTCACACTTTTTTAAAATACAGGATTTATTTCTTAGTAAATGTTTAGGTATGTAAGTTGCATTTTCACATGGAAAGCTTTAAGTTTTCATCCTTTTATTTAAACTGCTTCTTTCAGGACAAATCCACTACCAAAGGGTATTTCCATAATGACAACTTGATAAACTTGGTAGGAAATTTATTTGCTGCTGGTGTTGAGACAATTTCCACCACTCTAAACTGGGGCTTTCTGCTGATGCTAAAGTATCCTGAAATTCAGAGTAAGTGGTCTTATGTACACTCAAGGCACCAGGAACTGAACAGGAACCTTGAGGGTCAACATACCTGTTAATACACTAAGTTACAAAAAACCAAGACTTGTAGCTGATTATCTTCTAGGTTTCGCTGTGCCCTGTGGTTCAGACCTAGTGAGGGACGCACTAGTCAGCCTCCTGGTAGATTACAAACAGAGTTCATATGGGACAGGTCTTTTTCTCAGTCAAAAATTATTAATTAAGAAGAACAGAGCTGTCCTGTGCTGGGGAATGAAATTGTTCCAGGTTTCCTTCAAAAACAGGCTGTTGATAAACTAAAGGTCTGTGCAGATGCTAAATGGACTACAGTGAGGCTCTAAGTGCCTGAGAAGATTCAGGGAGTTGCTCTGTCTGACATCTGCATTCCAGTTTATCATACAGGGTTGTTAAGAGTCAAGTGGGGTTTTTGAAACACCTCTTGGTCAGAGTAAGAAACTTTAGGCAGAAGAAAGGGCAGAAAAAGAGGAGGGTTTAGGTTTTTTATCGGTAAAGAAATAAACACTGCAGTTTTGTCCACGTTTCATTACTTCTGAAAGGAAGAAAAGATTTGGGAGAGTTTATGGTTTTCATTCAAGGTTTTTTATACTTCATAAAGTACAATATGTCTCAGGGATGAATGAGTCCTTCTTTGTTTCTTATAGTTGATTCTTTCCTCAGGAAAGGTCCAAAAAGAGATAGAGCAAGTGATAGGGTCAAACCCTCCACGAATTGAGCATCGAACTCAAATGCCATATACAGATGCTGTCATCCATGAAATTCAGAGGTTCGCTAATATCTTGCCATTGGATTTGCCTCATGAAACTGCTGCAGATGTCACTCTCAAAGGCTATTTCATTCCCAAGGTGAGATGCTTACAAGATTGTTACTTATGGCATTTTTTCTTTCTCAAACCAGGTTAACATGATAAACATGAACTCTCTAATGAAGTCACATAACAGCAGTCAAAATAATCTTCTTCTGCAAGCTGACAGTCTTGATGTCTTATTGCCCTTACTGTCACCACAATATTTGCTCATGGATTAATTCTACTGTCTTATTTCACAGGGAACCTACATCATCCCCTTACTGACCTCTGTCCTGCAAGACAAATCACAGTGGGAGAAACCAGATGTGTTCTATCCTGAACATTTTCTTGACGCCAAAGGAAAATTCATGAAGAAAGATGCTTTTATGCCTTTTTCAGCAGGTGCCTTCTCCTTTCCATTTACTGCTGTTGCAGTTAGAAATCTTAGACAAGAATGACTTGTACCAGTGGGTTTTATGTTACTGAAGCTTGGCCTCCACACACGTCTTTTTCATGGGACCATTTCACAACACGTGTTTCACTGATTTCTCAGGACACGCCTCTGATAAGAAAGAGTGCTCACAGATGTCTGCTAATTCCTCCAGCCTCTGGATGTTATTAGTCCGTCAGTTAGTACGCAATCATTATAAATCAGAATTTGTAGTGCTTTCTTAAATATGAGAGAGGCTTTCAGCAAATTCCATGATGGTTTTAGACAACACATTTCTGTTCCATAATCTGTAGCCTGCAACTCCTCTATAGTCTGAGCTTCTTTGTCTCTGATTCTTACCATATCCAGCTGCATTGTCTATGACCACACACAAAGCACACAGGGAAGGTAGTTTCTGTGTCTTTCCTGGGAAATTATGGTTAATTTTTGCACGTCCCTTTTAAAAAGTCCTGAATAATGTCGGCCAGGATCAAGACTTCATATACTGTGCCAACAAAGAAAAGTCGCCTTAAATAAAATCCCAAATTCTGTGTAAAATCAAAGGACAGAAAAGGTTTGCTTTTTGAGGCTTCCACAGAGCATGGCATTCACCTAAGCTTACACACCTGCACCATTTGCCAAAGCATAGGAGATTCCTATCCTCACAATGACTACTCCTTCTCTGGCATTTCTCCTGCTTTGCAAGCTCTGTCATTGCTCAATTAAGTTCCTATACATCAGTCTTTGGGTAACTTGTCTATCATATCCACAACACTGCATTTTTTAGAGACCCTATTTGTGCATTTTTAATTCTGCATGATATTTGAATAAGGTCATTTCTTATCATACTCACCATTGAATATATAGTAAATAGATTTTTTTCATAAAAGGGCTTATGCTACTTTCAACTTACAGGCCTTTTTCAGATTTAAGTCTAGATGTCCTACATGAAAGCGCATCCAGGGAGTGTCAGGTCTAGGCTTTCCCTGGGGGGCTTTTCATAGCACAGCCATGCAATAGCTCTTCCATTTTCTTTCTCTCACACAAGGCAGTTAAAAGCAAATCTTAGTTCAGGTCTTTGCTAGTTCTGATCTTGAATCACCATGCTCTGATTAAGGCAGTTTACAAGCTGCTAAATTTAACCAGGATTGAGAAAAACTTATATTCACAGTGTTTTTGAAGAAAGGCTTACATTAGGGGCTCCATAGAATATCTCCACCACCTTCCTCCTCAGTCTCACTCTAGCCAGCATTTGTGAGTCTCCAAGGTCTTTTCTGACAAAATTTAATATAAAAAATTGCCTGTGACTAGATTAATAGACCCAAAGTCTAGACTAAATCAGTCAAAATTGGTCTGGGATGCAAAAATTGAATCAAGTAGAAGAAAAACCTGAAAATTACGAAAAATACAAATGTTATTGAAAACTGGAATTAAGGAATTCAGATTGCATTTCTGTATATTTCTCCCCAAATGAAAGCATTTAGACGAAGAAAAAAAAAATCACCAGGTTATCGTACCTCTGAAGATCAAGTATCCTCTCTCTCAGATGATTCTTGTACTCAATAGGCTTTTAAAAACTACTGTGTTCTTTATTTATAGCTAGGATATGACATTTCAAGTGTTCTAAATTTCCACTGATGTTCCTCAGAATAAGAGCTGCTCAGAGGTTTTTATTTCTTCCAACTACTGAAGCAGCAGCTCCCACTGGCTCTCTAATGGTCTGTTCTGCATTTCGTTTCAGGGCGGAGGATCTGCGCCGGTGAGAATCTTGCCAAAATGGAGCTCTTTCTCTTCTTCACCAGTCTCCTCCAGAAATTCACCTTCCACCCTCCCCCCGGAGTTTCCATCTCAGACCTGGACCTCAGCCCTGCTATTTCATTTAATGTCATCCCCAAACCCTATAAAATGTGTGCTGTACCGCGTTCCTAGAGCTCTAATCAGCACCAGTTTGTTCAAAAAAAAGAAATCAAATTACTTTTTCATGATATCTGTCTTCTTAATTCTTCAGCCAAAATAATTCACAACATTACATCTTAATGAAGGCTTACAATACTTCTAAAACAAAGTGGTGCTCTTATATTTTTTATTTATCGGGGGAGAGCAGAAGTGGACCAGAGGTATGGACTAACTATGACTCATGGATCAACCTATTAGATTGCCTAATCTGGGCTAAATAACGCAGACCTTCAGGTTTCACATTCTTTCTTCAATTTTCACTTGATAATGTGCGTATGTTGAAAGCATATCCCACTGAAATGCTCCCAAGTCCAGCTTTCTCCAAAGAGACATATTGTCGTGGATGGAGCGATTCTCACTCGTAAGAGAGAAGCAGTGATATATTTTATTGATATAAGAAAGTGAGTTAACAAAGCTGGAAGGTCAATGCGACAGCGGTTTAACAAGATTCGATGGCAAGATCCACTTGATTATTTACTGCATAGAGGACAGGGTCAGACAAAACTGTCAGGGAGACCCTCCTGTTGAGTCACAAGGATCAGAAAGGACCTCCTTGCTTTCTAAACTCCTCAGAGAGGAGTCTAGGTGCAGCTGGATCCAATCCTAGTCCCAGACTTGGTCAAGGGTTTATGTTTAAGGGATTATACGTGCACAATCAATCTAAAATATAATCTTAGCAAACCTTCAAAGTCTAGCCAGCTATTAGTCAGTTACTGAGGATCTGTTGCAGCAAGGAATCTCTCAGTCTCGAGGAGTAACCTTGAGAGGTGTCACTACTCAAGGAGAGGATGCTGGCATGCAGCCCACTGCCATGCACGAGAGCTCCAAGGGCTCCTGGGCTGCTCACCATTTACGGAACAAAACATGCACTCAGTTTCAATGCACTCAGTTTAAACACTATTTTTGAACTTGGGGGTTTGGATACAAATTATGAAATTACTTTCTCATGAGCAAAATGGGCCTCTGTTCTTTACATTGCTTCTTGTCAGCAATTGCCACTAGCCCTGGAGAGGCTACACCTCCATTTCTAGGTCTTTATTAATTCAGAAAGCGGCGGACACCATCTAAAGATTGTGCATGAGTTATAGCACAGTTGCTTGAAGTTTGCAAGATCACCAGGATGAACAATGTCTCAGAGGCTGTAACTCCTCCAGGAGGGACCCACACACTTCAGAAGGTAGAACCCAGTTGTACTAGAAAGAGGACATTCGTTCACATCTAATGTTCACCAAAAAGGTCCACAGTTATAAGCACAAGAGTACTTACTCTGTTGGTCTGCCCAATTGCCTTGGACAGTTTAGGTACACTACTGCCCAGAGCACTAGCTGACTGACTGCATCTCGCTCTGAGAATATACAGAAACTCTCCCTCTACCACTTGACACTTGTACCCGTAAAGTGGCAATTTTTTCTTTAATTGTTACTTCTCTCTCATTTCTCTGCTATTTGCTATTGACCTTCTTCCAATGATGGAATGCTACAAGTCAGTCAAACAGTCCTGAAAATTTATTTCACAAATAAACCAGCCCCAAACAAACCTTGATCGATCACTTAAATCACTAGAGCCCTTGAATGCATCTACAAATTCATATACCAATATTCACAGAAAATGTTTAACAGAAATTCAGCAGTCACAACAGTAAAGCCATTAGGAAGCAAATGCTGTTTCCACAATCAGCATCCTGCTGCTCCACATTAAAACAGGAGTGCTGGCATAGGTTATCTTGCTTCAAACGAGACTCCATATTTTTGGTTTCTCAAAGGAAGTCCACCTTCTCATAGATCTTCTCAATGAGGGTTAACATGTTCTTCAAGTCAGCTGACTGCTGAATAGTGTTCATATCCTTTAAAAGACCTTTCTGATTTTTTGTCTTCAAAATTTCTTCCTAAAGAAGGAAAGACAGAATAACTGACAGCAAATAAAACACAGCTTTCATGGAGTCCAACAGAAATTTCACTTTCATGCAACCTAGCTGTACCTAAATACAGACAAAAAATAAAATAAACTAAAAAATCAAAGGCACAGAATGAGACAGTCTTCCTTCCATTAATTACAGAGAAATATATTCAGAAATGATTACACATTCCCTACAACTATACAGTTCCTAGGAAAAGACAAGTGATCATTTAAATGGCAGGTTTTCTAAGGTTTTGTTCTGGTTTTTTTTAAATGCAAGCATATAGCTCTCAATGAAAAGAAATTAAAAAAAAAGGAGAAAACTTTCAGATATTTCAAAACTGCCCTTTCTGGCAGAGGTTAAGTGATAAAAGCATGTTCTGTTGCCTTCCTTCTCATAGACAAGGTGTCTCTGAAAATATACTCCATGCTCACCTGCAAAGTGGGTGCCTGTAAACTGTACTTGGGGAGTTCTGGAAGGTGGAGTTCTCCACTGCTATTTTCCTGGAATACCTAGAAGGGGAAAAAGAGGGAAAAAAAAATCCCAAATCAAACATCAGGCACACAAGTAGGCAAATAAACTGGCTGTCATCATCCAGCTTCTGAAAACTAAACTTAATTCTGCAACTGAAGTTGGCAAGATTGAAAAGTTACATTCCCAAAGACAGATAAGGCCTTCCTCCTGTGACATGCTCTGCAGAAACAGCTTATATGGGCTAGCTCTGGAAACACCATCTACTTCGAGGAATGCACCATCATCTACTGGAAATACCTTTCTGGCCTGTTTTTCATCTTCCTCTAACTGGTTCTTGAGCACCTGGATTTTGTACTGCAGTTGCTGTATATGTTCTTCAATGTGTTCTGTGGATCGCTGAGCTTCATTTATTTCTTCCTAAGAAAAAACAGACACAAAACCAGAATAAAATCCGCTTTAGAGATGGTGAGCTTTTTATGTATAAGATACTGATAATCAGCATTAGCTGAGTCGCTGGAAAATCATCCAAAAAGATACGCTGCTTTGTAGCAAAGGTGAGTGACAATGATGAATAGTGAACAACTCAACAGCACAGGCATAGCCAGCAGTCCTTCTACTAAACAGCTAGAAAACACTGAACAGCAGCAGCAGACGAATAAGATATTTTCTTCCCTTTCTTGTCTTTCATACCTGCAATTGTACCAAAGACTCTTCATTTGTCTCAAGCATTTGTTTCTCTGCCATTTGAAGGCTTAGGACGTTCTTCAGGTTGCCCAGCTTCCCTGGAGGCACCTTTAAAGTCTTGAAAAATCTCAGCACCCTGTATTATAGAAAAAGGAAAGCATGACTTGTTTGGAGTTCTTTGCAAAACAAAAAGAAAACTGACTAATGATTTCTCTGGAGAAAAACTATACTCAATTTAGCCCAACTGCTGCCAGTGAAGTAAAAGGATTCAGGCAGGAAGAAAAGCTATCTTGAATTGTTTTCCAAAAATCATGTGGAATAGATGTCTAAGGAAGGAACCAGCAACAAGAAATCTCACTGTCCTAACCTTTATTATTACACCAATGTGTGGTTTCTATCCCCTTGGCCTGCATTCTCCGATTGTAAATGTAAATTAACCTTAAACAATATTTTCCCAGTTCTGACCTTTGGGCTTTTCAAAGTAAAACTGAGTTCTAAAAGCAGCATTTTTAACTGCTTCCAAAGATCATTTTAGTAAAATCTTAAAATCTGTAAAATGCTTTTGTGAAATATGATATATAGTTTTATGCCAGAGGAAGAGTTTTAGCTTGCTCTCAAAGGTCCTTCTGATTCTGAGGAAGACTTGAATTCTTCCAAGTTGGATCTGCCTGTTAGACACATCAAATTACCACAATTTCCATGCATCTCAGATGATATTGCAGAAGTTTGGTAACTCATAAATTAAACATGTCACAAATTATACATTTTAAAAAAAAGAAAGCCATTTATGAAAAACAAGTTCCTCATGTTTAAACCTTGAGGTATTGTAAGAACAAAGAAAGTAACATATAGGCTTCGGCTCTATGTTGAGAAGAGCCTGCTATACCAACACACATGCACTTAAAAATTCTCAAGATGCTCAAACATACATAATTACTCCCACAATGACATAAAAAGGCTACAAGTTACGCCCCAAGACAAAAACTCAATTCTATTTGAACTTCAATAGTCAGAAAATTAATCAGCATTTAAGAAAATTTAGCTATAATTGCTCCTGTCACTATCATAAGCCAATAACAAAATAAATAGCTGCCCATAAATTTAAACCCTGTATAAAGAATACAAAGCTGATTCAAGGAGCTCTTAAGAATATCTTCTAGGTTCTGCTACTCATCTAGAAGTAGTTAAAGTGGGTTCAACCTATGTACTGCCATGATATTTCCCTCCTTGATTTTGCATCAACTCCCCCTTCTAAGATTTCCTAAATGATTGGTCCTTGGACCAATTGTGTAAGCATGGTACAAAACAATTGTGTAAACTAAATACCTTCTCTCCCTTTTTTTTTTTTTTGAAGATACAACTCCTTACCTTTCTCTTACCTTTCTTTCAGTAAATTGAGTTGTTTCTGAACATCGCCTTTTCTCTCACTTTGTTGGCACAAAATAGATCTGGAAAGAAAATAAAGGCAGAATTTTCATCACAAAGCATGCGAGCACAGAGAACACATCAAGTGAAGTAAACAAGTAAACATAGTCAGAACTTCTCTAGCTGAAAATTTACAACTTCAGATAGGAACTGTTATATTATACTGGACAAAACTATACACAGTCAGACATATTGCTGAAAAAAAGTTCCAAAGCTTTTCCAGTTCAAGCAATGTTACGATTTTTACTTTATTTCCCATGGAAACAGAGAAAAATCATTAGGATATCTGGCACTTACAGTATTACTGAATCCATTACAGTTTCCAGAAACTGCCTGCTGCTCTCCGAGAGAGTCTGCCAAGATCCTATTTTAGAACTGGTTAGCTTCACCTTTTTTGAAGAATATTTTTCTCCTGTTAACACAAAGGAAAAAAGGAAAAATATTATATGATTTGTCAAACCTCAGTAAGCAGCTTTGTGTCTCAATTCACTCACATCTTACTCAAAGATGTGACAGTTAAGATTCTTCCACGCCAGAAAACTATTAGGTCAAATCTATCCAGGTCAGGTGGTACTTATTATTTACAAATCACAAGTTGTTTAAAAAGCACAAAATAGAAAAGGTTCTTTCTTACAGCAGTTTTATTCTAAACAGATACTTTCCCAAGTAATATATACATAGGAACATATATAAGTAAGAAAATCAATGTAAGAGGGTCCTCATTTCATTTGTATGTTAATTACAACACATGCCAGTCCTAGCACAGAAGGTTAACAGAGAAGACAATGACCTGTGAAGAGAAAGTTAAGACGTTGTGTGCATGTGGTGGAATATTACAAGAGAAAAACACTACTTGCAAACAAAAGCATATGATTAATATGTGCATATATAACACATACAGTATGAAGGCGCACTAACTAAGACTGTACTGGAAACACTCACTGTTACTGGTTAGAAAGAAAACTTTTAAACTTATTTCAGTGACATATCTCAGACATCTATGATTTCAACACAGCAGTTACCACTTTTACTTTCAGTATTTTTTCAAAATACTTAATTTGCATGAGACGAACATAAGGAAAGAATACAATCCTACCTGCAGGGGAAGAGTCCTTGTGTTTCTTGGCTTTCCTTTTGACTGTGTGAGTAACCTGCTGAAAAGAAAAAATTTACAGCAAATATGGTAACTTTGAAACATCCTCTGCTGTGCAACCATTAATTTACTACTAGCAACTTGCGACAAAAAGGTTGTGAAAGCACTTCAGTGCTTGACAGAGGTCTGTTGCTACTGACCCCTAAAAAGGCTTTTTGAACTGTGAAACAGTAATTAATCTCAAGCAGGTTAGGGAAACCAAATCACTCTTCTTAATTCCTACTATTCCAAGAATGAGGTCATGAAATAAGAAATGCACAGGATGTTTGGCTATTCAGCCACATCTTGAGATCATGCTATTCATAAGTTCCGTGGTTAAGCAAGCTCTCTCCATCAGAAAGCTGCCTAGGCCAATCCTGAGATATGCAGAGAATATTTTCCAGAACTGAATAAACGTCACCTGAGCTTTATGAACTCTGATTTTATCACTCTGTTCAAACAGATGCTATGCAGCCCTCAAAACTGCACAGCCAGCTTGCATTTTTATCAATCATCAGGCAATGCCTCCCTCCACTTGTCAAAGGCACAGTAGCACACAACTAGAAAATCTGGAAACCAGAGTGCAGCTAAGGTAGTGGATCTCAAAATAGCTGTTCAAACTGGACATTTCCTCAAGAGGACTACATTTAGTTAATGAAATATTTTCTATAAATTCAAGTAGAAAACTGGGCAAAAATGCCTCTTTTTTCTCTCTTTTGTTACTTTTCTAACTTGTTTGATCCAAAATAATGATTACCTTTCTTTTTTGACCTTGTTTTCTTCCTTCTCCATCTGTTCCCTTTATTTTGCTGGAAGGCCCTTGTTGATTTTGTGATTTAAAGGCTTTTTTTGCTGATCCTCCACCAGCGGTCGCCTCCATTTCACTGGAAGATGCATGGTGACGTTTCATTATCTGTACATCAAATGGAACAGGAGGAAACAAAAACAAAATTAAAACTCAGCAATTATAATCCATACAGTACAAGCCACATATTAACAAGCAAAACGATAGAAACGCCCTGTGCTAAATTAGCACAAACATTTGCATATTTGCTAACATAAAGCCTAAATCTTGCCTATTTATCTAAGTGCAGGACTAGTAAAAAAGCATCCCCATCTGTCTTTTAGACAAACCTTTGCATGTTCTACATCTCTTCCTAAACTTAAAAGCCAGCATGTGTGTAAGCCAAAGAGCAGCACCGCAATGTAACAGTAACTGACCTGAGAACGGTTTAGTTTGTTCTTAAAGGCCTCCAACAATAGAAATTCTTTATCTTTCCAACAGAGTCCAGCACAGACATCCTATTGCCAGAATTTTTTACCCTAGCACTTCACCACAACGTTCTTTGCTGCAGTTTAACCCTATAGTTTCCTGCCGTACTCACTGCAGAGACACAGAAAAAAGCAGCCAGATAGAAGAGAGTAATCATTACATCCCAGCGGCCTTCTTTTTTTCTTCTTCCCACTAGCC